AATTTTTTTTGAAAAAAAAATATCAAAGGAAGGGGTGCTGACTAGACTTTGACCATTGACCGTTGACCATCACCGGCCACCGCCGCCGCCAACCACCACCTCCGGTCGCCGTTGGTCTCCGCCGCGCCGCCACTGCTGACCGGTGTTGCTATTTTATTTTTAATTATTTTTTTAATTTTCAAAATTAAAAAAAGGGAGTTTTGGTGTTCAAAGTAGTGAGCTTTGATTTATTTCCCGGTGAGCTTTACATTGGTTATTAGTGAGTTTTGCAGTGTAATGTGGTGAGCTTTGCGTCACCTGACCGAAGCATGTCATCTCACCGTAAGATCTCATCTCACTGGAGTCAATCTCATATACTACGTAGATCATCCCTATATATATAGTACTCTAATGAATTATGTAAAATCCAATCCGTACTCACTAAAATCGATCGGACGCATATATGTCAACATCTATTCCCCACACAAAGTTAATGCACATCTAGATTATAGCCTCAATGTGATTGCTTTTTCAAATGGTTCATTTGAAAAAAAATAAGGTTAGTGGGAATAAGAATGTTTAAATTTGGGGAGAAAATGAGCATATCTTAAAGACTTGTACGTGGTTGGTAGTGCCTATACGTGTGCAAAAGACTATATATGCATGGCACATATATAGATATATATGGATGATGATGATGATGGGTTGTGTATGTGTGGGATGTGATGTGGGGGCAGCCATAATGGCATGTTGATTGTGTTCACATGCATGTGAGAGTGGACCATGTAGAAGCTAATATAAGATGAGTGAGTTCATGTTCATGTTCATCTCCCCTGATGAACTTTTGCTGCTTCTGTTCATTATTATCTTTGCCACTCCATCACAGGCATGGCATTGGCTAATGGCAATCACTTTTGCATGGCTAGAGAATTGCCTTAAACGAAAACAGTAAAATATACATTCGGAGAGCATCTCCATCTCTATAATTCTCAAATTTTGACTCCAAAATCAACTAAATCTTGTGCCATGCAATTTACGATGGTGCGGGAATATATTCAAGCCGGGTCGGGGGTATGGGGTTTACCAGAGATTAGGGAGGATAGGAACCATCAATTTTTCGAGCGGAGCATCTTAGATGCCCTAATCTGGGCGCATGTCATAGGATGACATAGGGGGTTCATGTCACCCAAACCGTCCCCAAATAAATAATGAAGATTTCACATTATATATATAGACGAGTTTCCTAACTAAAGTTAGAGTGCATAATATAGTACTTCCTCCGTCCATTAATTTCTTTCTCACTCTCTTTTTTTGGATGTCCAAAGATTTCTTTCTCGTTTTCTATTTTGGCAAAAAATAATGAATGTGTCATTATATTCCTACTTTTTTTTATATGATATTCACTTTATTCCATCATATCACAAGGACAATACATGCAAATTCTTTACACTTTTAATTTTTCTTAATTTTTATGTCAATCAAATTGGAAAAGAAATTTTTAGACGGAGAGAATAACAAAAATTACTTTTGCCATAGTATATTTGTCTAATTTTATTTTTTCAAGTCAAATATAAAAAATTTTGAGTATCATTTGTTCTTAATTTGTATTGCATTCTACTAGTATGAAATAAAAATTTGAATGTTTTCAACAAGAGATAGATCTAACAAAGTCATTTGGGAAAAAACTAAAGTAGGAGTAAAACATTAAAACTATATAAAAATAAGAGTTCTAATTTTTTATTTCCAAAATAAGAGTTAAAATTTATTTACATTACCAATCATGACCATATACATCACCAAAAAGTATAGAAAAATGCTCGTACCACATTACCATTATGTGAATTCCTATATAGAAAATTAGAAGATGGAGCTCTTATTTTTTATACTTTTACTATGTTTTACTCCCATTTAGGTTAGTTGATTTCTTTTTATAATTTTAGTTAGTTTGAATGAAGCTTAAAATTCATGCAGCTTAAAATTCACTAATAACCAAACCATCACATCTTACTTTTACTCATCACATCAGGGGTAAAATTAGAAAGTCAACCAAAATTACACTTCCCTTATTTCGGCCCAAAGTTAAAATGGGAATGATTTTAAGGAACGGAGGGAGTAATAATAATAATTTTTTTTAGTACTCCTATAAGAGATCGTAAAAAATAAAATAGAAAATTTATTTTAGAAAAGAAGAAGAAGCTTGGAACCATTGGAAGTTATGGATAACACTAAATTAAGGGGGAGATATTGATATTTAAATCTTTACATAGCTACAGCCTCATTTTGACATCAGCGTTAGATGTTATCGTTAGTATTTTGAATAGATTATCTGGCGATAGTCTTTAGCACTAGAGTTAGCGTTTTCAGTATTAATCTACATCATTAAAATTTATCCAAAACGTTAACGCTAATAGAAAACGTTATTTTCAAATAAGGCCTACAACGACAATCCAGCAAGATTCCTTGATAATAGGGTCTGGGGAGGGCATGCGTATAGACTCTGCCCCTACTAGATAGTAGAGATCCCTGACTTAGCAACATTTTATTTAAAAAAAGTTAATATGAAAATAAGAGGTTTCATTGCACTCCAAAAAATTAGGAAAATGAAAAAACAAGGTTGTCAAGAAAAATAATAAAACCATTGAATTAAATTAGAGAATTGATGAAAATTTTATAAGTCAACAGATATGCATTTGTTTGAAATTTGTGAGATAATATGTTGATCTTAGAGAAGTGCTCTGCATGATTTCCCCACCAACGTGGAAACTTTGGAGTCAACGTAAACTATATAGACCGACACGAAATTGAACTATTCATGGTTATTTCATATTCAAATTTAAAGGTCAATCACATTTTATTGTGGTCAACGTATAAAAATAAAAATTCAAAAAACTGCCATAATCATTTAATCAGAAGTAAACCATGGAGTACTATAAATATAAATAAATAATTAAAGATATAAGATACGAAGTACCGGAGTATAATTTAATCATACTCGCAATAATGGAATTCACATGTATTTAGAGACTAAAGGTCACCTTGGGAATAACACTAAAGATGAGCGTTAGCATTTTAAAAAGACTATCTATGAGCAGCGTTAGCACTTTCAAAGTAATTTGTACCATTTAAATTTTATCCAAAACACTAACATTAATATCTAACGCTATTTCCAAACAGACCCTAATTAGTTTGGCTAGAACTGTCAGACTTATGTAAATGCAATAACAACAAACACTTCTACCAAACGTCGGGTCTGAAGAAGGTAGGTGTACTTAAATTTTATCTATATGAAAAAATCGAAGGAATATTTTTTTAAAAAATATGAGTGATTAACGTCAATTTTTTTGAATGATTTTGTAATAGTCTATAATAACGTTTAAATATTAAAACTAGAAGTTATCGTTCAATAACATTGTTTAAATGTTCAATATAATAATAAACACAAAGGAAACAATTTCCTAACCTTTTGTTAATTATAACTCCTCCGTCCCTTTTGGATCTTCCTAAATGATTTTTAAGGTCAACTTTTTTTTAATTTGACTATAAATTATAGAAAACAAATATATTGAAGTGAAATTTGCACTAAATAGGACTAAAACATAATGTTTTTCCTAATCTAGGACTTAAATTTTTTTATTCCCTAAATAGGACTTATTAATGTCTTAGTGGGAGGAATAATGTCCAGTAATGATGAACATTTACTTGAATAATGACTACTTGTTAATGACCAAAAGTCCTACATTGGAAAATAGAAACATATGGTCCTATATTAGGAAAGTCATTATGTTTCAATCTTATTTAAGTAAATTACTCTATATTGAATTGTTTTTTAAATTTAATACTAATAAATTCATTTTAAAACATAGTTTTAAAATACTCCGTATTATTATATGTTTATACTACATATATGCATCTACAAATAAAGATATTGATAGTCAAAATATTATCTCTGTTCTAAAAAGATTGTCACACTTCACTATTCAAAAATCACGAGAATTTTTGTTTATTTTTGTATATTCATTGATTATTCGATAGAACAAAATATTCTTGTCACTTTTTATTTTGTACAACTTTTGACATAGTTTTTAAATATGTAAATTTATTTTTTTATTTACATATCAATCTTTAAATAATATAGTTTTAGAAGAACTTAAAAATCATAAAAATTCAAATAAGAAGGTTCAAAGGGGAGGGAAGGAGTAGATTATATATTTTGTGAATATTTTTTTTTTGTATTCCCAAAAATAAAAATCTAAGTTGCTTTTGTTGACTATAGTGGAGGAATGAGAGGTATGGAGAGATTATATTCCATAAGGTCATCTCATCTTGATGCTGGTGGCCTCCCTGCACCCACAACATTGCCCTCCATTATATATATCCTATTGGCTCTCCCAACTTGTCATTCATTATATTAGTACAACTGGATTGTGTATGTGTTTTTTTTAAGGATAATAAATAAAAGGGGGTAAATTCAACCCTCATAGTCCCACAAAACCAGTCACAATTATTTGAGGGAGATAAATTGAACCAAATTTTAAGGTCCTAGAGGGAGCAAATAAATATAGTGTGATCCATTTGTTGATACCTATAAAGATTTCATTTCATGGATGATTATTTTTAAGAAATATCTGTACTAAATAGCACTAAAACTTAAGTCATTTTCCTAAATAGCACTTAAACTGTTTTATTCTCTAAATAACACTTAATAATGTCCAGTGATGACGAATATTTACTTGAATAATGATTAATGACTAATGCATAATGACTAAAAGTGCTACATTGGGAAGAAAAAACACATGTAGCGCTATTTAGAGAAAAGTCATTATCTTTTAGTTCTATTTAAGTAAATTCCCTTATTTTTAATTGATTTTTACTTTTGTTTTTTTTTTGTCGTCTAGGCTACGCCGCCTCCCGGTACGTACCTAATAGGAGATCAGAGAAAAATTGTTCTGTCACTTGATGAAATCTTTGATATACAATAAAGAAATTCCGCAAATTGTAAGGTACAACAAGTTATACTATACCTTCTTAATTTGTACTCCCTCCGTCCCAAAAAGTCTTTCTTTTTCATTTTTTGCGCATCCTATAAAACACTTCTACCGACATCTAAAATGCCTAAAATTTACAACATTTCTTCTTTATTGTGGGTAGAAGTTATTTTGAAAGTTTTTTTGGCATTCAAGGCGGGATAGAAGTGTTTTATGGGATGCGCAAAAAATGAAACAGGAAAGACTTTTTGGGACGGAGGGAGTACAACATAATGCATTTGCACTTTTCTCAAATTTTAATTATTGAATCTCTTTTCTTCGCGAAGACGTGATCGTGATGAAGGAAGCACGACGATGGCAAACCCTAGCTGCATCGATCAGAGAACAAAAGGGAGCACAGCGATCGTGAACCCTAGTTGTGATTCGAACCGGAAATGACTCGTTTAGGGATGCATGGGCGAAACCCTATTGCGAACTGGCCGGAGATGGTGATGACGGTAGACTCTATTGAAAATGACGATGGGCGTTGTGTTTGAAAACTAAAGCTTGGAATGAACTGAGATGGTGATTATGGTAGACTCTATTAAACCAAATCTGCAACCCATTCCCAATTCAGTGGGTGCAACTGCCACCGTCCCTAAGATTGACACGTTTTTACTTTTTTGGTCAAACTGTGACACTCTTTGATCGCAAATTATTGAAAAAATATTTTTAGTTATAAGGTAAATTTAGATTTATTTTAAAATATAGTTTTAAAATTTCAAATTTTTATAATATTTAATTATTGAAAACTATATTTAATTCGTGGTCAAAGAGCGCCGCAATATGACCAAAAAAGTCAAAATGTGGTAATCTTTTAGGAACGGAAGGAGTATATTTCTCAATACTCCTATTATCTTCCGCAAGTTGATCATCAACAACGAGGAGCGGCTTGGAGCATAAATATTGAAATGGAGGTGGTGGAAGCTAAGCACTTTTGTTGCATGATTAACAAGTAGAGAGTGCATTGTTGAGATTTCTTCCTAGCGAAAGATGATACAATTTGATAATAATGTATCTTATTGAATGGCCTAGTGAGGATTACATCAATATATATAGAGGATACATTGAGAATCCTAATCAAAATAATAAAGAAAATAAATGATAATGTTCTATTTTTTATTAGTGAAATTTACACTAAATAGGACTAAAACATAAGTCACTTCTCAATGTAGGACTTGAACTTTTTTATTCCCTAAATAGGATTTAATAATGTCTAGTGAGAGGAATAATGTCTAGTAATGATGGACATTTACTTGAATAATGACTAATTGATAATGACCAAAGGTCCTACATTGGGAAATAAAAACATATGGTCTTACATTGAGAAAGTCATTATGTTTTAGTCTTATTTAGGTAAATTTCTCATTTTATTATCACTATTATTCACAATATTCTCCCGCAAGATGATCATCAGTAACGAGCAACGGATTGGAGCACATGTACGGAAATAGAGCCAGGCAGTTTTGTGAAGATGGTGTTAAATATTACTTCATCCGTCCCAATTTGAATTGCCTATTTGTTCTCTCACTTTCCTCACAAAAATGAGAGGAATTCCTTTTCCTCCTCTTAATATAATTTGTCTTCTTATTTTCTTTTCTTTTTGTCTATAATAAAACAAAAACATTTATTTTCCATCTCATTTTCTTTTTTTTTTCTCTCAAAATGGATGGTTCACATCAATTCTCTCATATTTTTTTATTTTTTGGATCTTAAGTTTCGTGAAAAAATAAATGAAAAAATTATTTTAAAACGTAACCATGAATGTTGATTCATGGGTGACATCCTTAATTGGTCCAGATATAGTATATACGGAGTATGGAGATGGTAGGCTAGTGGGAGTAGTGGATCAGTGAACATTCACTTTCTTCCATCTTTATTTATTTATTTATTCCCCACACACCAGGCCAGTACAATAATAATGCACTTCTCCCTATTTCCTTCCTGTTTAGCCTTTACTAGTCGGTGGCAACGTTTTTAACGTTTGTTGTACTGGTCAATAGTAAGGGTCTCTATGCGAATAGCATTAGAATTTTGGATAAAATTTTAACAGCGTAGATTACTTTAAAAACGTCAACGTTAAACGCTGCCTGTAGATAGTCTTCTCAAAACGTTAATGCTAATCGCTAACACTTTTTCCAAACCGGCCCTAACTTAAGTCCCGTTTGGCATCAGCGTTAGGTGTTCGTATTAACGTTTTGAAAAGACTGTCTGACGTTAGCCTTTAGCATTAGCATTTTCAGAATTAATCAATATGGAGTATTATTAAAATTTTATCTAAAATTCTAACGTTAAACGAAAACGTTGTTGTCCTAAATGAGACCTTAGACTCTCTGCACCTTTTGACGCCGCTCGTCTCACATGCATGCCTAGAGAGCATGTCACATCAGTTCCTTTTAATAAATATTTTTTACCCTCAACACTATCATATCTATCATTTCCACATACAACTTCATATATTCCACAATCAGGAACATTTAAAAAATAAATTAAAGATCCGACTAATCAGGTTCTTCTTTACCATGAAAGACAGGATAAGCGAAACCTGGAGGAAATTGAAACATTTTGAGCCGCCGCTTTATTTGGGCCATAACTTTGGCTACGGGTGACCAATTTCAGCGAAGTACCCCAAAGCTCTCAGTGAGACGCCCAAGGGCTCGATCGGTTGAAGTCTTGAAGATCCATCGACATCCATCTTCAACCCCAAATTCTACTTTTTTGCCAATTAAAGTTATACTTTTGTTATTTAAGGCCTTTATTCGTTTTAATGTTTCTTAACTACGGAGTAATTTACAGTTTAAGCTATAATAGTCTGGTTTGTGGCAGCTTTATGTAGACTTGATTTTTTCTTCATAAGAATAAACCCTAGAGAGAACTTCTCCCCTAGCATTTTCCTTTTCGTTGTTCTGTTTTTTTATCACACACTTTGATTCAATTCGGTGTCAAGATGCAACACAACTTGCACAAGACAGGCAAAGGAAACCAATGCAACACCTCTGGCAGACGGCTTCCACGTTGGTACCGGCATGATACATCTGCCTGCGTTGGAGCTCGTCTTATACGTTACTCCCTTCGTCCCTAAAAACATGAGAGATTTTGATTTTTAAGGAATTTAAGAAGAGTGTATTTTGGTATTGAATCAAAGAGATTTAACATAATTGAATCAAAGTGTGTGATGAAAGAAAACCTGACATTTTGTTTTGATTTTTATTGAAGTATTTAATTTGCATCATTAAAATATTATTCAAGATGTGATGTAAGGCTATACGGTGTGGATCACACCATCACGCATTCACGCCATCCTTTCGTGCTAACTCAACGCAGTGTCAGCTTTTCTCTTTTCTATCACATAGCATCCCCTTCTAGGATATTATGGATTATGCCCATCCTCTTTCCCTTTTTTTCATTTTTTATATTCAGTTTTTACAACCATTTCAATTAAAATTACTTAAAAGTAAAATATTCCTTCCATCACAAATTAATCCCCATTATTTTCTTTTTGGGTTATCCCAAAATTCATTCTCCGCTTTCCTTTTTGGAAAGCTACTTGTGGCTCACTTTTTTTCTCTCATCTGCAAAATTTTCAACCACACGTTTTTACTTTTCTTAAACTCCATGCAAATTCAAACTGTGAGTATTAATTTGGAACAAAGGGAATATAAAATAAAATTCTCATTAATATTAAATTTGATATTGCAATTACAAAAGTAAAAAAAGTGATAGATAGCGAAAAAAAGTGTACGTAAAAAATATATAATTACTTAGAATAAATGCATACATTCTTAAAATTACATATAAAAAATTAAAAAACTATTTTAAAAAACTATTCATAAAATAAATATTTCATTTAATAACCAAAAAGATCTAAAATTAATGACAAAAAAATGTAAAAAAGCAAAATTGAAAAGCAAAAAAAAAAGACTTAGAAAAGAAAATTAAGCGTCGTGTTTCCCGCCATCACATGGCTTATATGGCATCCATGGAGGTCATCAAGCCTCATCCCCTCCCACGCATTGCACAACCTTGACTACAAACACTATTTAGCTTATTCCTGAATCTGATTCTTCCTTGTGAAAGATTGTTAATTTGTCATTGTGAAAGATTGTTAATTTGTCATCACGATTCGATACCCTTTATCTTCTCTGCCCCACCTTAAGGGCGCCAAAAGTACTTTTTCTCGGTTCTTATAAGTTGGTCAAAAAAATTTATAAGCTATTTTTTACTTGTCAACTGATGACGTGTACCTCTGTGTTTAAAAATCAATAAAAATACATACATCTTACCTACTTACTTTTAATCAATTTTTTACTTTTTCTATTTTGACCAACAAAACTATCACTCGCCACTTATGAATATCTCCAAATGAGTTATCTCTCATTTAAGTTAATTCACTTCTACAAAAAAATATTTAACTCATAAACAGCTTATAAGTTACAGATTGTTTGTCAATAATAAGCCAATAAGAATCAGTACATAGAAACACCTCTCTGGATAAAAAAATGACGGATGGGCTTGTGGCGCTCCAATCACCATCAATGCAAAACAGCGCCGCTAAAAAGAATGCAACACGGTTTCGCTCTGTCAACATGTCAGCGAGTTCTTTACTTATGTAGCATTAGAAACTCGTCCATGATGCTTTGGCAACACTTTAAAATGGGACGGAGTAAGTACATTTTCATTGAGAAAAGGTCCGGAACTCTTTTAGTTTAAATTTGTTACTCTATTGGTTTGCAACTCTGTTAGTTCACAGACTTTGAAAAAAATCTACTATGTATCATTTAAAATAAATCCACAAATATCCCTACATAATACAATATCAGCTTGTTAGAGATGCATCAACAGACCAGCTTGTCTTTCAAACTGCATATTATACCAGTTCTTCTCCACTAGATAACCAAAACCAGTTTCAGAGAAACACAGTGATAAACAGAATGAACACATTACTACACTTACCGCAAACGCCATGGTGGCCTGATGAAATAAAAACTGCAGTCGCCATATATATTCATTACTTTTCTCTCTTGTGAAGTTGAAAGGAGATCACAAAACAGCGGGCTTTCGGTTATGAATTAAGCTAGACGTCATATACAGGCAGACGATCTTCAATGTAAACACGGCATATGGGGCACTTTTTGCACTTCTCAGAACACATACTGCCCAGAA